GCTCGAGTATAGCATGGATTGTGGGGCTGGCGCGGGATCGGGCAGTGTTTCGTTCTGCTGTGCATGGGGTCGCTATGAGTCAGAAACGACTCGACGGCACTTAACAACAACAACAACATCTCAGGATTGTTATGAGACTGAATGAGTTGCTTTCTATATAGTGCTTAACACAGTATCTAGTAGATAAAGAATTTGTAATCATTCTATTATTATCATGTATCTGGACGCAACATACTAAAGATGATAGACAGCCTGAGAGTAAGGATGGAGAAAAAATAGATTCACAAGATACTGAGTAAAGAGAATTTTACTGTAGTGACATATTGGATTTGGAAGAATTAGGGAACAAGTAAATAATACACTTACTGGTGAAACACTGAAAGCTTTTCCCCCTACCCTGAGAGATCAGACACAGATGCCCTCTCTCTCACCATGTTCTTCAAAATTGAGCTGGAAGTCCCAGACAATGCAATAAGGGAGTATAAAAAGATTATGATTAGAAGTTGTAATTATTCGCAGACAACATGATTATGGACCCAGGAAATCTAAAAAGAATCTATAGTAAACTAAGAATTGGTCAATATAAAAAATCAGTTATATTTCCATATATAAGCAATAAACAGAAAGTGAAAGTCTTAAATTACACCATTTCCCACAGCATCAAAAACAAAAAAAACACCTAGCAATAAATCTAACAAAAAATGTACACAAGTGCTATGAAAACTATGAAACATTATTGACAGAAATGAAAGACCAACATAATATGGAAGGTTATATTGTGTTCATGGTGCTCAAAACTCAAAAATTTTAAGATCTCAATTTTACCTAAATTGAGCTACAGATTAAATGTTATCCCAATCAAAATTTCAATAAGCTTATTATATGGAAACGCAAAGGCTCAAGACTAGCATGACAATCTTAAAGAAAAATAATAAAGTGGAGAGAATTATCAGATGTTAAAAGTTAGTGGTATTTGCACAATTAAAAAATAATAGTGACCAGAAACAAACCCACACATATATGATCATTTGATTTTTGACAAGAGTGACACTGCAGTGCAGTGAGAAAAGAATCACTTTCATGATAAATTGTTCTGAGTGAATTAGTTCACCATAAAGAAAAGATGAATCTTAACTGCTACCTCACCCTATTTGCCAAAATCTGTCCCAGATGGATTCTGGACTTAAATATGAAAGGTAAAGCAAACTTTTTAGGAGACAATATAGGAAAGTATCTTCATGACCTTAGAGTAAAGATTTCTTAATTTGTTCACAAAAAGCATTAACCATAAAAGAAAAGATTGATAAATTGACTTCATTAAAATTAAGAACATACAATCATCAAAAGACCATTAAGCTAGTAAAAGGCAAGCCACAAAGAGGGAAAAGATATCTAATAGATCTAGATATAGGTATACCTCCAGCAAATGACTCATAACCAGAATTATAAAGAACTCTCAATACATAAAGAATATATAAAGAAGCTGGACTATATGAAGAAGAATGCATAATTAGCATTGGAAGAATACTCATTAATAACCTGTGATATACAGATGACACAACCTTCCTTGCTAAAAGGAAGACTTGAAGCACTTACCGATAAAGATCAAAGACTACAGCCTTCAGTTTGGATTACACCTCAACACAAAGAAAACAAAAGTCTTTACAATGGACCAACTAGCAACATCACAATAAATGGAGAAAAGACTGAAGATGTCAAAGATTTCATTTGGCTTGGATTCACAATCAACGCCCATGGAAGCAGCAGTCAAGAAATCAGATGATATATTGCACTGGGCAAATCTGCTGCAAAAGACCTCTTCAAGGTGTTAAAGAGCAAAGATGTCACTTTGAAGACTAAGGTGCACCTAACCCAAGCTGTGATATTTTCAATAGCCTCATATGCATGTGAAAGCTGAACAATGAATAAGGAAGACTGCAGAAGAATTGATGCATTTGAATTGTGGTGTTGGCACAGAATACTGAAAATACCATGGACTGCAGAGTTAGAGCTGACTCAATGGCACCCATCAACAACAACTTACATATCTTATATATGAAGAGGCACTTCACAGAAGAAGATATCAAAAGGCCAATAAAAGATTTTTAATATCATTATTAGTCATCAGGGAAATGCAAATTAAAACTACACAGAGATACAACCACAGAATGGCTAAAAATAAAAAAATCAAGAAACACCAAGAGCAACAACCAAACATATTTGCTTCCTTTTGGAAAAATATAGCATTTCCTATGAAGCAATCTTGTGCAACAAAAGATGACCTAAATCTTATTAAATTTCTGGATCAGGGGTCAGCAAACTATGCTTCATCAGCTAAATCAAACCTATTTTTGTAAATAAAAGTTTATTGGACACAGCTAAATTTATTCTTTCATGTGTTTTTTTATGGCTGCTTTTATACTATAATAGTAGAACTGAGTAATTTCAACAGGGACGATATGGCCCACAAAGCCTAGAATATTTACTATATGAACCTTTACTGAAAAAGTTTTCCAAAACCTACTCTAGATCCAGCTGCCAATTTATAGTCAATACAAAGGACAGAGGGACATGTTAAATTACACAGGGGGATGCAGACTGGCTATGGGTTAAGGTTGTTGGGACTGGTTAATGCGAGCCTAAGAGTTTATACAATTCTGTATACTTCTGCATATGTCTGAATTTTTCCACAATAAAAAGTAAAACAATATTAATAATAAAAATACAACAAACCAATTATACCAAGTTGTGGTATGGTAGTTAAGTTTGTGTGTCAACTTGGCTGGGTCTGGTTGAGTGGCTGGGCAGCTGAATGTAGTATTCCCCATGATGAGACGTAATCAGCTCCATGGTGGAATCTACTGTGAGCAGCTGAGTAGCTGCCTTAGGGATGTGGTCTGCTTCCTGTATATAAGGAGAAGCCTTGGGAAACAGTCTCTAGCTCACGGCATGCTTGAATCCTGCATGTAGCTGTGTTGTTGTTCAGAAGCCTGCCATGCTCTGCTGACCCTGGGACTTTCAATGGACTTGAATCAATGGCCTACCATGTAGTTTGGTAACATCAGAACTGTGTCTTTTTATTTGTTAACCTTGGGCTTGTCAGTCTCAGCAGCCAGTAGCTGTCTGAGTGAAGAAAAGCCTCCAGCTTCAATGGGCCAGGAGCAGGAGGCAGAATTGAAGCCCAAGGTTGAGGGGCTTTCACCCAGCCCCTAGAGCCTGGCACTCTGAACTCAGACTTAAAGCCTCTAAACTGTAAGAGAATAAATTCCTGTTTGTTCAAGCCATGCTATTTGTTGTATAGTCCTTTCAGAGCAGTACTAGGTAATCAAAACAGTTGGTGAGTATGCAGAAGTAGAAATCTTATACACTGCAAATGGAAGTATAAATTGGTAATAATATCTTTGGAAAACTATTTAGCAGTATCTTCTAAATCTGATCAAACATATCTTATGGCCTAGAACTGTCATTACTAAGTATATATTTCATAACAACATGTACACATGTGCACTAAAAGACAAGTATAATAATGTTCAGAGCAACACTATTTGTAATATCCACCTCAAATGTCTACCAACAGTAGAATGTATAAATAGATTGAAATGGAATTTACTTAAAATACTATACAGCAACTAAAATGAAACAGCTATTGCTGCATGCAATGGATGAATCTCACAAACGTAATGTTGAATGAAAATCTGTGTCTGTGTATTGTATGCCATCAAGTTGATTTTGACTCATAACAACTCTATGTGACAGAGCAGAGCTGCCTATAGGGTTTCCTAGGCTCCAATTTTCACAGAAGCAGATGGTCAGGTCTTTTTTCTCATGGAGGCAATGGAAAGTTCAAACTGCAAATCTTCCTGTGCTGTCTCAGGTGCTTAGCCATTGTGCCACCTGGGCTCTGAAAGTAGCCAGCATCAAAAGAGTATATATTGTATGATTCTATTTATATAAAGTTCTAAATTGACAATCTAACTGATAGTAATAAAGAGAGGAACTAGAATGAATATATAAAAAGAGAGATAAAATAGTTGTTTACATTGGGTTTCAAGGAGATTATAAAATTACATGAATATTTTCCCAAATAGTTTTTAATCTATTTTAACTTTCTGAAAAGAAGCCCTGATAGTGCAATGGTTAAAGTAGCTAGCTGCTAACCAAAAATGTCAGTAGTTTAAACCTACCAGCCACCCCATGGGAGAAAGACCTGGCAGTCAGCTTCTGTAAAGAGTACATACAGCCTTGAAAACCTTATAGGGTTGGTATGAGTTAGAATCGACTCAAGATTAATGATAATGAGTTTGGGGTTTTTTGTTGGTGATGGTGTTATGCATGAATTGAATGTTTTCTTTGTCTTCTAAACCCAGGTCACTTATCCCAATCTCTTACCTGCTTTGGATAAAAATAAGCTCATTCCACCAGAGCCCGAACCAACTTCCAAAACAGTATCACCTGGGTTGATATTCATCATCAACAGCATCATATTCATATCCTATGATTGAAACACAGTATGAGTTACTCAGTAACCAAAAAATATGTACTAAGCACTTACTCTGTATCTGATACTCTGTTGGCTATGGAGAGGAAGGAAGTGAAAAATAGCATTAGAATGTGGCCCTGCCTACATAGACTTTGTATTCTGGTTGATGAAATAAGAGAGGTTTAAGAATAAATTAGCAAATAAGGCAACACGTCAATATAATGCTGAAATTGTAGACAATAAATAAATACAATAGAAACTCAGAGAAGAGATCAGCACACTGTCCTAGGTTAAGGGCATGAAGAATTTAAGGAAATAATTACAAGGGGGAAACAGCTTTAAACTAAGTAGAGACAGAACATCTGTCTACCAGGAGCTCTGGAAGTGTAGTACCTATGGCATTTGACAGCTAACCAGAAGGCTGGCGGTTCAAACCCACCAGCCACTCCTCGGAAGGAAGGTTGGGCAATCTACTTCCGTAGTGATACCTCCTTGGAAACCCAAGGAAGGGTCGTTATGATTCGGGTCCGACTCGATGGCACATAACAACAACAATAACAACAGAGACAGAACAAATACAATTTGCCCATCTCAGGATGGGAGATAAAGAAGAGACTTGAATGTCAATCTGAGGCATTTGAACTTGACCTGGTAAGCGTCTGGAGTATGTTACTGAGGTGATACAAATGGCATTTTAGGAAGATTAATCTGGCAGGGTAATACAAGATGCACTAGGGCAGAGAAAAATTAAAGGAAGACAAACTAGGAAATCATCACATAATGTAATCTCTGCATGAAATGATGCATTTCTGATTTAGAATTAAGATACTAGGAATAGACAGGAGGATCCATTTGCCAAACACTGTAATTAATGAATCTTAGAAATATCCTGGTTGATAGCAAGATCTGTTTATTGAACTGTCTCTATTTGCCATGTTTCCTTGATTGTGCAAACTGCTTTCATACATTATCTTGTTAAAACAGAGATTAATCTATGAGATAAGTTTCATCATTTCCATTTTAAAGATGAAAAATCAAAGACTTTTATGTGACCTTTGCTCAAGGTTACATAGAATTAAGTGAAAAGCAGCATTAGTTAGAACCATGGATTAAAGAACTGAAAGGGGCCAAGGTGGTATGTCAGACATACAAAGACCAAAAGACCAAACTCACTGCAATCCAGTCGGATCTGACTCATAGCGACTCCTCATTTGGGTTTCTGAGGCGGTATCACTAAGGAAGTAGATTGTCCAACCTTCCTTCCCAGAAGTGGCTGGTGGGTTTGAACTTCCAGCCTTATGGTTGGCAGTCAAATAAATCTTAAATACCAGGGTAAAAAAATTTGAATTAAAATCTGAGTATTTCTTCCTAAAATTAGTAACATTCATTATGGGGTAGGTAAGTCATAGCCATTATTATTATTATTTTTTTTTTTTAAAAAAACAGGAATGTAAATGTTTTGGAGTATGCTTCAACTACATTTATCCGGACTGTAAGATTGAGCGTTTTCACCATGGCTTCCTATTTTGGTTTTACTCTGAACCCATCGCATTACCTTTGGATATGATATGGCAGGCCCTCTTTTCATCAATAATACATAATCTTCCAACGCCGGCCTCCTCAGCAAGAACTGCTTACCAGAGGAACTCTTCATCATCTGGCCGGGGAACTTCCCCACGATCTCGTTGAACCGGACTAACCCCCAGTTACTATTTAAATGCCCGGTGTTGCTCAACCTAAATAATTTCTTAAATTGTATTTCTCTCTTGCCAGTTTCCGCTAAAATCAGCTCCCCAGCCCTAAACGGACCCTCCCTGGAAGTTGAGCAGGAAGAGGAGGCTGGAAACTCTTCGACTTCGGTAGCGGACAGGTCCAGGGTGAGCTGGGACTGATCCTGGTCTCCATTCGAGTCCTCGCGCTCCCGAGGGCGTGACACCTCCCGGTGCGCCAGCAGTCTAATGCTCTGCAGTGACGAAAGACATCTCATCCCAATGCCAGGGCGCGGAGAGAGAGCAGGAGACTGTGCGCACTGAGCTTTCATACGCACCACCTTGTGCCCTCCTTCTTCATCCCGCGCGTCTCTAGGCAAGGTCTCGAAGTACAGTGACCGGGCACCTCCGAAAGGTTCTAGCCAAATGCCACCCACGATTGAACAGGGCCCAAGCTTCCATCGCTTCCGAAGACGCTGTAGCCGCAGCAGCACTGGACATCGGCGCCCAGCCCGCAGCATGGTACCCAGCGCGGGCACCGTCGCACGCAAGTGACGTAGGGATGGGCGTAACCCCTCCTCCCAGGTCCGTGACAGCCGGAGAGCCCAACCCAGCAGCCTAGGGACTCGGCCGAGAGGCGGTAGAAGCTCCGCGACTGAGTCTGCTCGCAGAGTGAGGCAGGCCAGCTGGGAGGGTTACCGGAGTGGCATTGAATTACTCTACAAAGAGCAAGTCGTACTCCTTGCAGAGGTTTCATTTTACTCCTTGGAATAAGGACAGAGTACCTGTGTTATACGGGAGCTCTGGTAGCGTAGTGCCTAAGGCATTTGACTGCTAACCAGAAGGCTGGCGGTTCAAACCCACCAGCCACTCCTCAGAAGGAAGATGAGGCAATCTACTTCCGTAGTGATACTACCTCGGAAACCCAAGGAGGGGTCGCTATGAGTCGGGTCGACTCCATGGCACATAACAACAACAACCACCTCTGTTCTACATAGGGTCGCTATGAGTCGAAGCTCACTGGAGTGCACCTAACAATAACAACACCACTTACAAATCTGTGGTAGCTTCGCCTGGGGGTAGGAAGACTTCGACAAAATTTGTCAAGGGGCTGTGTAAATTGTAAAGCGCTACACCAGTGTTGTTCTTGTTAGGTTCCCACTAATAAAGACCCTGTGGACCTTATGTACAACTAAATGCTACCCACTCTTAGTACTGTATCAGATCACATTTTGCAGCTATGTTCTCTGGCTAATTTTTAGAAGTAGATTGCCAGGTCTTTGTTGCCAGTCTGTCTTAGTCTTGAAGCTCTGCTGAAACCTGTCCACCATGGTTGACCTTACTGATACTTGAAATGCTGGTGGCTTGTCTTCCAACCTCACAAGAATACTCACATCAGTGACTGGGATCTTAAAAGCTTGCAAGCAGCCATTTAGATGCAACGAGGGGTCTCTCATTGTCCAGAGCAAAGAAGAATGAAGAAAACCTAAGATTCATGGAAACGAGTAGTCCCAGCGACTGGTACACCATGCAATCCACAGCCTATACGACTATAAGACCAGAAGAACTAGATGATGCCTGGCTATCACTGTCAACCACTCGGAAGGGGGAACTATGTAGGAGATCCCAGATAGAGAGGGAGAACGATGTGGAACAAAACTCAAAATCATTTGGAGAAAAAAAAGGAGGGGGGGACCAGGTTTGCTGGTCTGATAGAGCCTGGTGGAACTGAGACTATGGCCCCTAGCTGCCCTTCAGGTCTTGAATTGAACCCACAGCCATGCCTTCCAGCCAAACAAAAGACAGACATATGAGTTGAACATGTACCTGAGGTAGATACACTCCTTGGAGAGAACAATCATGGGAGAAAGAAGGGCTGTTTATACACAGGGACATAGCTCAGGGGGCAGGAGTGCATGGAGCGATGGTCACAGGGAAGAGGAAACTATCGGGAGGAAGTGGGAGGGGAGCTGTTGCATTGTGGTAAATTGTAGTCAATGTCATGAGACAAAGTGTATGTGAACTGCTGTATGGAAAGTGAATTTGCTCTGTAAATTTCCACCCAAATCACAAGAAAAAAAGAAATAATACATCATTGTCCTACAAGAAACTGACACACAAATATAACAGGGTTAGCTGGCTAGATGTAAGTAAAACTAGCCTCAGATATGTTTGACAGACTGTGCCACTTGCTGACCTGTACCCCTTTCCCAGCTGACCGCAACATCCTAGCCCTAGCAAGTGCCCTTGTTGTTACAGTTGCGTGCTATCAAGTCAGTTCCAACTAATAGCCACACTATGTGCAACAGAACAAAATAATCCCAAGTCCTGTGCCATGCTCACAATCATTGCTATGCTTGACCCCATCATTGCAGCTGTTGTGTCAATCCATTTCATTTAGTCTTCCCTTTTTCCCTGACCCTCTACTTTACCAAGCATCATATCCTTCTACAGGGTCTGGTGCTTTCTGACAACATGACCAAAGAAGGTGAGACCAAGTCTGGGCCTTCTTACTTCTAAGAAGCTTTCTGGCTGTACTTCCTCCAAGACAGATTTGTTCACTCTGCTAGCAGTCCATTCAATATTCTTCACCAACACCATACTTCACCATACTTATTCAATCTGTATGCTGAGCAAATAATCTGAGAAGTTAGACTATATCAAGAAGAAAATGGCATCAGGATTGGAGGAAGACTCATTAATAACCTGCAAAAAGCTGATGACACAGCTTTTCTTGCTGAAAGTGAGGATGACTTGAAGCACTTGCTGATGAAGATTGAACACTACGGTCTGCATTATGGATTACATCTCAATATAAAGAGAACAAAAGTCCTCACAACTGGACCAATAAGCAACATATGATACATGGAGAAAAGATTGAAGTTGTCAAAGACTTCATGTTACTTGGTTCTACAATCAACACCAATGGAAGCAGCTGTCAAGACATCAGAAGACGTATTGCATTGGGCAAATGTGCTACAAAAGACTGTTCTGGTTACCTAGTGCCACTCTGATGAGAAATATACCACAAATGGGATGGCCTTAACAAACAGGAGTTTATTCTTACAATTTGGAGGCTTTAAGTCCAAGTTCAAAGTGCCAGGCTCTA